CTAGATGTCGCCATCCAATTTAAAAAGGATCACAAACGCTTCATTTTAAAATTGATTCGTGTACACAATTTACTACACTTTGTGCAAATGAATTTTTGGAAGAGACTTAAAAATAGTGTAATAACAATAACATTTTGTAACTAGTTGATATTAGAAACCACACAGTCTATTATAATAAATAATTAATTAAGCGCCCTATAACAGAGATGCAATGTTGAAATTTAGATGTGGCTTCTCTGATTACGATTTTATGTTTCATTAATTTCTTTTTCATGATGGTTGTAAATGCTTGTAAAATTCAACGTTATTAGAAAACGCTAATATAGGTACATTTAATTTTTTTACAAAAAAATTAAATAGTGAACAACGGTCCTACGAAAACGTGAACAACACTTTTTAAAATGTCTCTGTGAAAATGACATTTAACTGCAATAATTACACCGGAAGATCAGCCTTAAATCATCAAAACCAATGCATCTAAACTGCCAAATTTCAAATATTTCACATTAAAGTCACTAGATAACCAAAGTAGCAGTTCAACGTCCCAGTGTGTAAGAAAGAGAAGTACTGTGGTGACCGAATTTAAATCAAACTTTTCGCGCTGAAATTAATTGACAACGGCGCGAAATCACATTTGAATAATTTTAATTTAAAAAAAAAAGAGTTCAATCACAAAAAAGAAATCCTTAAACATAGGCAACCAAATATGCATGGATGGTCTAATGCACGTAGCGCTTAGGAGTTAGTTGCATGATCTTTGGGTTAGATGGCAGCACGTAGCGCTAGGGTAATTTCAGTTAGAGGGTTGGTAGAAAAACGGCATGGTCTGGCATTACGAATGTGGCTGTGTGTGTGTGACCACGTGGTAAGAGCTAGGTTTAAATTAGTTGGTTTGGTAGTTAATAAAACGGGAGGAAGCCTTTGTTTAACGACGATCAAACGTATTTTTCATAATGATACAGTTGTCCCCAACCCGCGCGGTAAATTCTTGCGCCCCTTTAATCGAAAATTGCAGACTTCCGGTCGGACGCGAACACGTGTTGTGAATCTGTTTCTTTGTTTGTAAATTCACCAATCAAGCTAGTTTTTCTTAATAGTCAGCTAGTGCAAACACAATTTAACAATCAGGATTATTTAAATTAACCATTTGCTAGAAAATTTCATGAAATTCACTTAGTCAGGAAAAACACCTTATGTTTAATTACGAATAGGTCTCTGGATGCATATACGTAAGTGTTACATTATAACACTTCTAAATTCTTCACACAAGATTGCTAATAGTTCATTTACGGCAGTTAAACAAGTTCATTATACTGCGGACTGGCGGGGGGTTATGATATTTTCTCCCCTTAGGTGGTTATCATCGTTATCACGATTAATTCATCGGGGCATGTTTCGCAACGCCAGATTGATTAATTAATTAAGGCATGCCCCCAACGCTACAGAAAATTTACATTACCGAGACGCTTTTTCCTCGCAACGATTTTGGATATTTACATCACCGAGACGCTTTTTCCCTCGGAGCGATGATTGGATATTTTTGTATTTGTTTATTATGTGTTTTGTTGGGGTAACCAGTTCGTAGTATTTTAACTTCTCAAAGTAAATTATTTTTGAAGTAACCAATCATTTAGATCATGATATAATTTGGCATAATGTAAACTCTTTGTTTGAACCGTTGATAAAGTGTGGCAAAAATTAATCTCATGTAAATTATGTTAACTCTGCAAATTTTCTACCTCATACAATATTTCTTAATCTCACAATTTTAACCTCAGCAATTTTATTTGTTGTATAAATTTAATTGAACGTAAATTTCATGTTCTACAGTTCTAACCTCACATAACATTTCTATTTGTACAAGTTTATTTCACACCAGATCTTTCGTCTCATAAATCCTTGCTAAGTTTTGTTTTGTAAATACTTTGTTGATGAATGTTTCCTATCATATAAATTATTTGATGTCCAACTTTAATCCCACATAAGAATTATTTGTTGTTTAAGATTTCACAAGATCGTATGGCGAATTTAAATGTTGTTTATTGCTCTTTGAAACTTTAACACTTGTTCAGTTGTTGTTAACATCAGAGTTATAAGAGATTGAATGTTTTAAAATGGAATTGAGGTTAAATGACACAGAAAACGTGGCAGAAGCGAGGTTTGGTTCCTAGTCGAGCTGGCGAGATTTATCGCGCCACCTGTACAAGTCCACAGGTTTGGATAGATTCAGGGGGCGGCCGCCGACGTTGTGAATTTCTCGATTTGGCCCAATAGTCGAGATCTTTGCGGGTTGGACGACCGTAATGGCCTAGTTCCGCAGGGCAAAGTTCGTCATGGGATATGCGTGTGGGGTAGGCTTTGCGATAGATAGAATCACCGTCGCGGGGGGAGAACAGTTCCAGACCGGTAGCTCAGACTCCGCTTATGCTACAACGCTCCAGGGGTACCTTTCTTGTGCTCCTGTTAACTGCCGTAACAAAAAAAAAGGGAAAGGGAGATCGGCCGCCACATGCCTGTAATAACTTGTGTACTTGCATCCAGATTACTTGATTCAGCTTTTGCTTTGTTTTATTAAATTTGTGATATTCAAATATTTGCATTGATTCCAAACAGATGTACAGAATTTCCGTTTGTTCGTTTTTCGTGTGTGTATGTTTGTCAAATTCGCGAGTGTTTTTCTTTCACATATCTTAAGGTGTTTGAAATGTAATAATATGTCGTCCGGGAATAAAACCAAAGGGGGTTTTTGCGCTGAGGGGTAATTCTTCGCAGCGTCTTTCCCCCTGTGAGGGTGGTGCCGTTTCTCCCCCTCCAAACCAATTTTTGTCTATTATTTCTTGCGCTCTCGACAGTGTATGCACTTGTATGAAAGAACGTCTTCCCGCCATTTTTCAAAAATAAAAAAAAAAACACAACGTAGGTTCCTATTTGTTAGACGATCATAGCCAAGGCCAAACTTTGAATTTTTGAATTTTTCGCGGGCCTTTCAAACTGTTTCAAGGTCAAATTTTGAGGCGGGAAGTTTGGGTTATCACAGTACCTAGTGTCCCTAGATTTAGATCTCTACAGGGACACTAGAAGTACCTTGCGTTGGGCGCCCTCATACGGTCACAAGACAAACGACCACCCATGAAAACGGTTCAGTAAAAATAGCGAGTTGTCCCTACTGATTGATATCTATACTGTGCTCCAGGTGTGAACACGTGTGAAGCATAGAAGGACTCTGCGATAGGTGTTGGTAAGCGTGAAGTCGGATTCCACAGGTATGTGTAAAAAAAATTCCTCGGATGTCCATTTTAATCATAAATCTCATCTCGCGGGGCTTTTTTGGACCATCGCTTAATTAGACACATTAATTTTACTAACATTATAAAATCTAAAGTATTCGGATGGCTTTTCCTGGATTTATTATTCGTTTGTTGTAAATTCTCATTCTGGAAAATTCCACGTAGTTTTCAAATTCAACCATTAAAAAAGGGAGAAGAGAAAGCGGGTGGTGCGCAAAGTATGGGGTTGTTGATCGGGAAATTTCAAGGGCGTCTTTTGTAAATTTTGTATTAATCATCGGGGATTCACCGAAAACATTGTCGATGAAACTGAAACCATGTTTTTTTGGTGTGTACTCCGTTCTTTATTTATTTATATTTATTGTTCTTTATTTTGTGTATTGTATGTGCTGTTTCATTTATTACTTATGCGTTTTTATTTATGTGTATCTTGTGGGGAGGCCGAGGGGTAATTTGGTTTGCCTAAATCATTTTAATGCATTTATAACTTCCATCGGCGCCCAGTTTAATATCAGATAAATTCTTTAATAAAATCCGCAACATAAATGTGGCTTAATTAAATGAAATTAATTAAATATTATTGCTTTCTTTACAACCCTCGCATTGGTTCAATAATTTCAAGTTTCAAGTGTATTAAGTTGAACTTTTAGTTAGAAATACGTACGAAATTGGTCGGCGGAGGCGGAGGCGGAGCTTGACCTAGTCCGGATTGAACATTTTTCTTCATAATTTTCTTTGTGCTCATAGGACTGTTTATTCGCAATACCGGATTCCACCAACGTGGGGAATTCTGGAAGGTGGCCTGCTGATAAAGGAAACTCTACTGGTGGCCAACTCTGTTTGTCACGCGGGGGATGGAGTATAGTTACGGTTACAGAACAAGTCATGAAGCAGACGCCTCAGGTCCCAACGAACACAGCATAGAGATAGCGTGGCGCTTGTGGGGGCACCACGGCATGATTGTACGTAGCTGTGGTTAGTGCGAAGAAACAGTCAAAGCTGCTAATAACAAAATCTACCAACACGACACTATAATAATCGGGGCATCGCCATCCATTTACCTTATCTAGGATTTTGCTCACTTAAATTTTGTATGTCATTCGCGGTATTTAAATATGTAATTGTAAACTGAATTTGATTTGATTAAAAGATAGAGGGGGTTTTCCAACTAGGAAACTAGGACCGCCAGGACTAGTTGATAGAGTTTTCCTTCTCTCAAAGGAGGAACCACCTTTTTCGGCCATTTGCTTGTTGTTGTGATATCTATTAACTTTATTTAACATTCTAAATACTTTGTCCACATTAAATAAAGAGATGTTCCCCTTCAATGCTGACTTTCAGTTCGCACACTCTTCCCGCTCCGCATTGCCAATTTGTATCAGAACGCATTCCGCCATTTCAAACAAAGTAGGGTCCCACGCTTGTTGACAATCACCGTTCAGGGCCACTTTTCAAATTTTCATGGGCTTTTCAAATTTTGTTTACACGTCGATTTTTGGCGGAATGTTTAGGTTACCACAATACACATTTCAGGAAGTAAATAAAAATTCGTAAAAATGATGTAAGTTCCAGGAGAAAACAATGAAAGGGACGTTAAAGAAAAATGTTCAGAAATCAATGCTGAGTTGCTCAATATTAATTAATTTTAAAGTTTCACCTTTTTGTGCGGCAGTGTAGTACCTATCTTGTGTAATCAATTAATCAGAAACAATATTTGTAAATAAGGTAAATAAATTTATTATTATTAGTACTGTACATATTCATACTTAATAAATGTGTATAATTTTATTCTTTTGGTTTAAGATTTCTTGTACTTAACTCTGTGGACACTTACTTTAAAACATCAATTTTCACCAACATGTAGCACCTCCTACAAAGTTCAAGCAGAATGAACACTTCTAATTTTCATAACATTACCCAAAATGTACCAGGCGCTTGACAATTTAATCACAGAATTTTGAAACTTTAATTTATAAAAAGAGATAAAAATATGCAATGTATCAAAATTGTAACTTAACTTACATAAATACACGTTCTAAAACATACACCTAAAAACTACATAGGCATATGTACATACATTTTACAATAAATTCATAGGCGTAAAAAATAGAAGTTATACGCTTTATAATCTTCCTTTACTTGCATCAACATCATTTTTGGTTGTTTGACTAGAACTTACTGCACCATAGTTTACAACTACATCATCGTAATTATTTTGGTAAAAACCTGAAGACGGGGCACTAGCAGCTCCATGTTGCGGAGATACTAAATTAGCATATTCATTGTCTCCTCTTGGTATTGTGTACATGCTTCGGCCTCTGATTCGGCGACTTATTGAACTACCTAAAATTTATCAAATAGCATTCTGCAATTGAAAAAATGAAAACACTTACTGACTATACCCAAATGTTCTTGGATGTCACTGTGCACATCTGAAATGTCCCACATCGCTAAGAACGCTTGACAACATGACTGATGTAAACCAGCCCTTGCATACGGTTCATAGGAGAAACTATAATGATGTGCTATAGAAGCCATGCACATTTCAATGCAAATTAGGAAATCCTGAAGTAATATTTAATCTCATGATAGCCACTTTTTTGTAAGTCAAGCTCAATCCTCACCTGTAACCTCGTCGACAGACTTAACCCATCTGTTGCAGGATCATTTGAACTTGGTTTAATTATATTGGTGTAAACCAATATATCTATTAGAACCCCTTGACTGGAATCAATAAAATCAGATTAGCGATACTAATATTAAATTATAATTACTTACAAGAATGAGAAAAATACGACAGCCTTGATGCATAAAAATTTTGGTAAAGGTTTCATTGGTCTTAGTTCTGCTATATTAGCTTTGTAAAACATTACTAAACAATACATAGCCATAAATTGAGATATGTTATTTACAGCTATTAAATAGGGAAATGCAACATTTCCTTTAAATTCTCCATCACCATAGACTCCAGACACTTTGCAGATACTACAAAAATAAATTAGTACATTGAAAACAAAAGTATCTATTATATGCTAACAAAGATATGATGGTAGTCAAAGGCCTCACAACTGTATATTGAAGAATTCCATGTTTGCAGATGTGAACAAATTCTCTAAAACAGTTTGCAAAACAGTTTTTTCAAATTAAAACAAAAGGTACTAAATATATACCTCCCCATTTCCCAGTCAGGTAAACAACATAATGGAAAAATATGTTTCACCTGAGGCTTTAATTCTAAACTTGCTTCAAGATCCATTTCCATATTTAAATAATTAAGAAGGAATTTCATAAAATTATAAATGACATAAGCTTCATAACATTCTCTAAGACTGTCTACATACACAGATTCCTTTGGATAAATCAATCCCAACCACTAAAAAAGAAATAGTTACCTGACATTTAAACAAACAAAAAATATACTCACAGCATTGATAGCATATATCGGAACCATCCACAAAATCCTGTTAAATAAAAACTGACTCAAGTTACAAAATTTAACAAAGTAATGTTGTTTTGTTAATTAACGTATCTGAAAACATGACTCACTACCCATTTCATTGTTATACTAACCTAATGATATGTTTCTGCAATTTTGGCTGTGTGTAGTGTATAACATGTTGAATAATTTCCCACAACGATAACGGAATAGCGACCCAAACAAAAATTCCAGCAATTAAAATTTCTTGATCGCGTTTATTAAAACCATCTTCTAGGGATTTCACCAAAAACAAAGGCACAAAAACTAGCGCCGCCAAAGCATACAAAAATATAACCAATGGTCTTATCCACTGTCTCCATCTTGCTAAACAATTTAAACAAATTTCAGAAGGCATTGTTCAAAACATTGTACATATTTGAAGTTTACACAAACATCTCTTAAATTTGACTTTGACAGATAAGATAAAAAAAGAAAACTGACAATATTCACATCTGTCACTGGAGAAAACGACGAAGGATGCGCCATCTATTAACTCCTCTTCGAAGTACAGTATCGTAGGCGACTGTTATGTATTTCAAAATAATTGTCGATCACTGAAAATTCGAAATAAAGTTCGCAGTGTATAATATCAAGTTGAAATTATGAAATTCTTTGTTGACATTTCAGTTGTCTTATCAGAAACACCGTGTGTCAGCCCGTGCTTATTTTACAAATGTTTATTATAAAGGCAATGTCCCTTTTAAATGAAAGGCTGCCTAAGGCAATTTGCCCTTGTTATCACGAACTTATTTTTTGCATTTTTTTTTAATCGTAACCACAACTGATAAAACTGACATCTTATTAGTTACTTTTTATATCCTGAGCGTAAGCTAAGGAAGTATAGTAACGGAGTCTATCGCACGAATGGCCAATTTTATATTTTCTCGACGTTTCATGACCCCGAAGGTACGAAAAAATTAGCCTTTCGTTTTCGTCTATCTGTTTGTCTGGCGCCTGTATGCATTTCTATTGGACACGTAGGTAATCACCAAAACTACTGAACTGATTGTTGTCAAATTTTGTAAGTAGGTATAGTCGGAATATCTTGCAGATGATTAAACGCTAACCAAAATTTGACCAATCACAATCATTCCCACGACCACTGGGATGACGCATATCCAATTTTTTTACAATTATAACAATTCCTGCAAAAAGTGAACACACAGTTAGAATTGGCAGATATAAAAAACTTTTCGTGCTTTTCTTGTGTCATGTCTTCGGACTTGTTCTGGTGATCTGGCCTTGATTACTCCACTAGAAGACTTGAAAAGCTGTTTGGAAATTTTTATTTTCTTATTAGCGATCTTCTCCACATAGTGTTCATAAACGGTGTATGGCTTCCACCTTCCAAATTTCTTGAAGATAAGAGGGTCCTCCCCATTTTCTGCCAGGATAGTGGCGGAGGACCTCCTGAAAAATGGCCCGTATAACTTGTCGAGTGTTCAAAAAGTCTTGTTGGATATCTAGTGTGTTAATTGACTTTCTTTTTATTGGTTCTTACCCTAGACCTTTCTGAATAATACATTTTTTATTGTTGTTGTTGCCATTTTCATTTGTTGGTACTTTTTGTTGTCACATTGTAACAACTGTAACTGGTGTGAATGTGTAGATAAGTGAAGAAAAAATCTTTGCTGCGGAATCGAACCACACATATCCCGTTTGCCGGGCAGGTGCCTTCACCACTAGGCCACAAAGCGTTTGATTTTTACTTCGCTTACCCATCTATTATTGTGCCGCCACAAATGTAATCATGACGCGCTGGTTCGCCGGGACTCAGTAGCGGGTGATAATCACTGAATTTAATCGTCACTTTTTCTATAAATACAATTAACGAAAACGTAATTAGTAAAACGGTTAAGTAAATGAGAACGGAAATTAACAGCAAAGTGCAACGAAGCAACGTTATTCTATTCTCAAATAAACAAAGTGCAGCCCGTAAGTGCAATGAATTCCCATCCCATATCAGCAGTGTTTTTACACAATATTATTGGTGTTTTAACTCTTTTCTTTTCGTATTATAGAATACGTATACGACGCCGACGGAATAAAATGTCGAATTTTATAATAAATTAATTATGATATTTCTATATGATAAATAAAAAAAATATATTTTATAATAAACAACAATTGAAAATACATGGATATTTACTTTAATTAACCCAATCGTCATCATTAACCATCATTTTGTCAAAAAATACAAATGCAACATATTTTTGGTTTTTATTGTTTTTTAAGAGAAAATTAATGACTTCGCCACGTATACGTGTTTAATGTATAATATAAACTGACAACGCAGAGTTCAAACTTCATCCGTGCGTCCCTGGGTCGAGGCACACACATTTGATTCGAGTCGATAAATACGATTTGTTTTATTAATAACCGGACACGTTTTTTCGACGTTTCATGACCCCTAGACCATGAAAAATACGTCTCCCGTTTCCGTCCGTCTGTCTATCTGTCTGTCTGCCGTCTGTTCGGATGTTTATGAGACAGGAAATTTCCGAAACTGCTGTACCGATTCTTGTTAAATTTTGTATGTATGTATATTGAGATGATCATGTAGATGGTAAAACACTAACAAAAATGTGTCTAATCATCCCTACCAACAATCGGATGACGGCACATCCAAATTTTACAATTAATTGTTTTTTAAATTTTATAAAAAAAACATACTCCTGTACTTGTTGTTTATGAATTCGTGTTGAGTTTTTACCCTAGATATTCAATTAAAGAAAAAACAAAAGTGTATAACAATGTTTTACAATTTAACTTTGAAATTTCAAAACAGAATGGTCTGAAATCTTGCAAGCGTGTGGTGATCGAAAATATGGTGAATCACTAATTAAAATCTATCTGTTTATGGTCCTCCAAAAAATGATTCTGTGATCCTCATCTTACATTTTTGCCTATTAAATGTTATTTAAATTTTTAAAGTAACATATTGCTGCACTTGTGATCTATGAATCCGTGCCAGTTTTTCCCCTAGACGTTCACTTCAAAAAATAAAAATTAGATTATTACCTTAAGCATGGTAAATCGTTAATCAAAATTTTTCGATAATGCTCTCCAAAATGATGATGTCATTTTATGGTTTTGCCGAATATTCTTTAAATTTTATAGAATTACATACTCCTGCATGTGTGTTTTATGAAACAGGGTTGAGTTTTTACGCCAGACATCCAGAAAGAATCAAAATTGTATAACAACATTTTACTATTAACTTGTAAGGTTGGTAGAAGCGTGGTAAATAGTTTATGAAAATTTATGCGTTTAGGTCCCCCTACCCCGCAAAAAGTCATGACGTCATCTTAAAATTTTGCGGAATGAAATGTCCTTCAAATTTATGAGTCTTTACGCTAGATACCTATCCATTTTTTGGGGGAAATGAACTGAGTGTGCTTAATTAATTTATCTCCTCTGGGGTGAAAAGATAAAATCAATCAAATTTCATTTGTTTAACCGCTGATACTCGTAATCTGAACTTGTTAATATGTATGTATAAACATAAATAGTGGAAGTTAAGCATGTACTGAGAAATTTACGCCCCCATGCTGCAGGGGCTGCGGGGATGTTATTTCACGTCACTGGTATTTACGTTGTAGAGGTTATCAGTGTTATCAGTGTTATCACGAAACGAAAATCGTAAAACAAATTTTATAATTTTTCAAAGACAGAAATTCTGTCGAAATAACTTTCGATCAATTTTTTTACATTATAGAGGTTATAACAACAAATGGCAAAATCATATTTCATCATTTTTCAAAGAAGCGAGATTTGTTGGGCTGTACTTCGCGGACGAGGAACGTTCTGTCTAAATTTCTTGTAAGTTATTTAAACGTCGCTCCCTTATGTTTTACCTAATGCCATTTGCGCAAGTAATGGGAAGCTTTCAAGATTGAACCAAATTTAACTTTAACATCCTCTTCGGGCCTACCCAGTTTCTTTTGAAACAATATTTACACAAGAAGTCGAGAATGAACCTGGCGCGTCCTCTGACCCAATTAATTTTGGAACTTGTGTTTCGACGCCATCTATTTGAATATCAAGTGCACTGGGCGTGTTAGGTAAATTATGCGCATGCGTAAGCGCACATCAAATGAGTACTCGTTGATAGCCGTCATGAAGGGCGTTTGTATCTGTAAAGTGGTGATTTTATAAAAATAACAGTGATTTTAACTGATGAACATACGTTTAACGGTGAAAACTACAACAATTAAAGAATAAGCGTCAACAGGTAAGTCATCATTTCACCGTTTGTCGCCCCAGCAACTCACACAGTTAATAAATCCTAACCAAGTATTAAAATGGCCGAATAGGTGTAACCAGTACCCGATTCATGTCAAATAATTCAGTAACGACTTACTGACGATAATTACTTTACTTCCAATGATAATCTTTTTGTTTGCTGTGATGACTGTGAGGATTCCTTTCGATTGTTAAGTCTGCAAGTTTGTTTCTATGTCAGTGAACTTCAAAGAGGTTTACAAACACTGACACAAATCGAACGCCGGGTTACTGCCCTTTTGGGGCTTCACGTTCAGAAATTTCTTTCAAATTAAATTTGATTAACTTTGCATAGATCACTTTAGTTATACTGTTTAGTATCGTTTCGCGTGAATCGTTTGAATTATTTGAGTCAAAAATCTTTTATTTTCAGCCTGTGATTTAAGAAATTTTCACCGAAATTTTAATCTCGACTCTGGACATGGGTCACAGTCCTAAAATAAAGTGTTCAATGACTAAATGTCACTTTACTTGATAAAGGCTAATGATGGCCTACAACTCTTCCATCTATTAATATCTGTGATGCGTGCATGAGTCATTTTAATTGTAAATAACATTGAAAAAATTATGTGAAGTTTTGCATAATCTCGCGAATTACATAACAAAAGCACAAGCACAAACGAATGGGATTTAAATACTATATTATCTAAAGTACTTGGGTGGTATTCTTAACGATTTATCAACTTATAAATAAGATTTGATTAAATGTTTGTGTTCGAAGCGCTATCTTACAAATCGTGTGTTTGATTTCTGATATAAATACAAGCAGGTGAATGTTTGGATGGTTACACAATTTTCTTATCGTTTTATTGTAATTAATTGTAAGGGTGTGACGGTGGTTGTTTCGCATTCCCATTTTATAATTTTAAATTGCTTTGGAATGTATTTTTACAGTTACGGAGTGAAGGTGTGCGAATTACGACCTAAAAATAATCGAAAGTTCAACGAATTTTTCAGTTTGTTCTGTAGAGAGTGATAATAGTTCGTTGTTAAATCAATGCGTGACCTATGAAATTACGTAATGATTGAACTTGATTTAACGGTTAAAATAGATTACCATAGTGATTTTTCTTTAACAGCAGATTGGTTTGAAAATCATTGTTTTGTGTTTAGTGCTGTTTGTATGAGTACTGTTTGAATACATTTTT